AATGATAAACACTGAACCATATTCTGCTGACTCTGCTTAGAATAAACACAGAAGCTAATGCTACTGAGATCAAATGTCTTACCCTTTTTGCGTGTTTTCTAGAAATGATTACTTCCTTCCTTTCATCTAATTCTCCATTTTCTTAAGAAAATTGCAAATGAGACATAACATTTATAAGAAGACGTGTTTGACGTAAGCCAATGAATCAGCAAAATAAAACTGCGTAGTTCTGCCAGTGCTATTAAAAGTCTGAATATAATGATCACCCCACCAGTCTAGTTGTGCTTCCAGGAGTTCCCAAAATTTTCAGCAGTACTGAACTGCTGCAGTTGTACTATATATGGACTGGTTTTAGACTGCTGAAAAGTGAAATGAGGTTCATCAAAGCTGTTAATTGATATAGAGAATTACTGATCAACAGTGTATCCCCTCATGTTTTCCAAGAAATTTCTACTCAGTGTTTTAAAGATTTTCATCTGAATCAGGGTTTTGTCACAAATTTTCCTTTCTGGAACCTCATTGACTTAACCTATTGTAAGCTACTCTCTGTGCTGTTTGAGAGACCTGACATCTATTTAACAAACCAGGTGGGCATGACAGGTGTACCACATGAACAGTGATCCTTTCCCTCCAGAACTCAAAGCTGTGCCTTAAACAGCCTATCAAGAGACACAACACTGAATTCTGGTGTGTGTCTGTTTTACAAGTGGAAATAACTGTCTACAACTTCATTTTTGAAGTTGCACTCACATTCCAGTCACACATACAACACACACATTTTTCTTCAGGCCAGAGCCAGCAATATCTGTAATTTTAGCAATAGCAGCTGGAAGAATGAAATCTCTTTATTGATTAATCACACTGGCTGAATGATATATGGTTTCCTGAAATGTATTTTATTCTCCAGAACTTTTCTTTATGTTTTCTTGCCAGAGAACATAAAGGGTTTTTTTCATTAAATGGAAACAGAAAAATAGCTTTTTAAAGAAATGTAGAAAATCAGTCCAATTAGTTCCTCCTTGCTAAAATACATTAGCAAAGTTAGATGATATTGATGAAAAATCTTGTAAACAAAGGAAATTTAGAATTATTGTAAGGAATTTTGGTACAGAAGATACATAAGTCTGTTCAAAAGTGTACAGGTATTTGGAAAGCAATAAAGCAGTACTCAGCAATAAATGCCGTTCTCAGCAAGGACATTAAGTAATCTCAGCAGTTCTGTACTGTAATTTTTTCAATGATTAATTTAAAAAAATGAAGAAAGTTCAAATTTATTTATTGGAAGCATTGATGTTAAAGTAGAAAAGTCTGAGGCATCTCCATCACTTAACACCGTCATTGGTGTATTTAGATATTGGGATTCAACAGAGATTTTCTGTGTGAAACTTAATTTTATCTTCAGAATTAACATAATGCAAGTTGTTTGTTTGTGCAGAGGAAACCATCAATTTATGTTGCCTAGCACTAGAAAAACATGAAAGCATCTTTTTTTATGACGTTATTTTGCATCTGTTACTGAGCTATGTTTTTTAAAGTTCTGAAATTGAATATGGGATCTGCTAGAGCTTGTTGGAGCCAATGGAGTTCAAGAGCCAGGGGAGTGTTCCTTCCTGGTCCACTGAAGACCAATTGGATGGAACTAAAGACCCTGGGGATCCTTCTGTCCCACTCCCATCGATGGGAGTCTGTATGTACCGTGTCCCAGGTACAAACAGTAGTGAGGCTGAGCACATATTCCCAGTAGGGAACATAGGCACACACTGTGCACACAGGAGAACCACGCAGATACACAGAGAGAGGTGCTTTTACCAGCACCCACATGAGCAGCAGTCACGTAGATAAGAACACCACTGATGGTTTAGTTCCTCCTTTCTGTCTGATCAGGACTGAAGTTTCCTAGTGGAATATACAGATATGCTGACTCTCGTCATCCACAGGCACGCTCGTGTTTGTGGGTCAGTCAATATGGACTTTAAGTCGGCACAATATCCATGCCCAGCCTCTGCCCACTTTCTGCAGTGACTGGCTCAAACCTTGGCTGTCTCCAAATGTATCTCTGACCTATCAGCCAGTCCAGCTTGAAGTTTCCTAATGGTTACGCACACACTCCCTCACACACCCTATGGGTGTCTCCAGAGACTGATCTGAGACACTTCAGTTGCTGGCACCCGGGCCCTCAGTTGCCTTAGACATGCAATGTCTCTCTCCAGTGGCTGACACCCGTCCTGTGCTACTTGCCATCTAGTCCAGCATGAGATGTGCTAGCATTTGCACACATGCAGGCTTACAATAAGGACTGCACTTAGACACAAGATGGTTAGAGATAGGATTTAATAAGAATATGCAATAGACTCATTTAGACAAGCACTTACATACAGCCGTTTCCTTTCCTCCCCTCTCTTCTCCATTTACCTACGCGTGTTCCTCCCTGATCTACGTTTGTCTTGTCCCTTAAACATCCTGTAAGTTTTCTGCATCCCCACAATGCCCTTTAAACATACCGTAATATTTTACACAATCAGAAGTTTCTCTCTGCTCCATTTCAAAATTATCTGCCCCACCCAGCATGCTATCCTTTTAGGCAGTAATCGCCCTTACTCTGCAGGACATCTAGAAAGAGAATTTTTTTAGTTGAGGCTTCTTGGTAGGTTTCCCATCAGAAACTGTGGCTGAAACATTCTCCCTCAATGGTCTTAGGAGCAGCAGATTCAGTGGCTTCTGTTCTTCACTGGTTAGGTTACTTAGGTTCCACCATCCTTCATTGGCCTTTTGATCATCGTCAGGTCTTTGTGTTTAATTTGATTATCCTTTAGTTAGATAACCTAAACCCCATAAAAGTCATAATAAAATAAATCTGGTTTAGGCCAGGTAATTTATTTTCATCATTAGCTTCTTTTCTTGGAATTTCTTATCCTAAAGACTTTCCTTGAACAGCATAGCTCCCTGTAACGTAATTGAGAAAGCCGAATATGATGTACTGCTTCATCTGTATAATTTCTTTTCCACTTTATATTCCTTGTACTTTCTCAGTGCTTTGTCTCTAATCCAACTTAAACTATCCCAGCTACTTCTAAAATTCCAAGAAAATCACAGAACAATGAGATGAAGTTGTGGTAAAGCTTCAGGTCTGCTATAACAAAGGCAAAGAGTAATTTAAGGCATGATTTCATGACTGTTTTAATTTGCCATAAATCCGTGCTCCCTGCCTCAAGAGGTTTTAGGCAGACTAGACAAATAACTGAATGATTCATTCCCTTCATCCAGTTGAACACTCTCCTTCTGTTGCAACAGCAGCAATCCAGGCTTTGTGCTTTTTTATTTTATTAAAGTGGGAAGTATGACAAAACTTTTCTAAAATCTACCTGTGGATTCAAATTATCTTGAAATTTGTGATGTAATTAAGGGTGGAGAATAGGATTTGGAAGTTCAAAAAGACATTTGAGCAGGATTTTCTTGCTCAAAACTGGAGATCTCTTGAATTTATGTGATTTTTTTTTTTTTTTTTAATATGGGGAGGTATATAAAGGTGCCTATTTTTCCCCTGTTGTTTGTCCATCCTTGAGACAGAGATTCTGATGATTGTTTTGGCCTTCCTGAAACTGACTTCATTCACTCAGAATCCGTTCAGTCCAATATGCAAAACTCCTTGTCATAAAAGGAAACAATATGTAAAAAAAGTTCTAGATATACAGTGGACTTGTCCAAATAGTGTGTAATTAGGAAGGAAATAGTTATGTATAGAATGAAAAAGACCTTCATGTAAACTACGTGATGCATGTTGGTTAATAGCATAATTTAGTGTGATGTGCTGTAGCTATTGAACCTGCACTAACAGATAAATGCTTTAATTTAAGGCTTATATTTGGTAGTTTTTAGTGCTTGAGTTCTCATTTCAGAGACTTCCTGTGCTTGTATCTCTGCTGATTGCTGTAGCTGGGGTGAAAAAAATATGTAAAATGATCTCTGATAAGATTAAGTAAATAGAGAAAAAGAGTTAATAAAAAGTGAATACTTTTGTGGGGTTGTCATGCTCCTTAACTTTTCATTGCCTTTTTTACAGAAATTTCAGTATAGTCGAATTTGACATTTGGAAAGGGCACAAGATGCTTCTAGGCAACCTTATCTCCTCATTGCTAAAATTTAGGGATAATTATTATCTATTGGATGTGCCACAAATTGTTGTTTATTCTGTGTGAGCATCTTGTGCCTCTAGGCACTATGCATGTATGAATGGAGGCTACTGCAATGTGTTCTTGAAAGCAGGTTAAATGAGTCAGAGTTTTTTATTGTTAATTTTGGCCATTATGTAAGAAAAATTTTCTATTCACTAAATACTCTTTGTGTCAAATTGTAAGTCTGTTGCATGAAATGCTTATTTGTTTTCTAGATAGTTTTAGCAAAGATTTATTTGCTTTGCTGAGTTAGCTTTCACTTAAAATGAATTATCAAACAAGTCTCCAAACAAATCAAAGAAAAACTCAGAAATCCCGCTATTTTGTAGACTACCAGGGATCTGTCTATGTATACAGCTTTTATCCTGCATGAGGAGACCTCTGTCTCTCTGTGGAAGACTGTGCAGAGTCATTATTTACATTTTGATGTTTCCAGAGGCTGCTAAGTGTTGCTCTTTCAATTAAAGGCAGGGAAGGTCAGTTTGTTCGCTTGTTTTTACTGATATTAGAGATAATGACACTGCTATCAACTCTGTATTTGCTATTATTAGTAATACATATTGAATGTTTAATAAGATACTTGCAAATTATACGTATTTAACAGAACTGATATTATGGCAGATATTTTAACTAAATTTGCATTTAGTTCCATGTATAATCGTGATCTGTAACTCTTATGAGCATATAGTAGTTGAATACTTCTGTACAATGTTTCAAGATTAATGCTGCCCTCAATCTTGAGCCTTCTTAATTCTATCCTTGTTTATAGTAATTAAATATACTAAAGCTATTTTTGTTTTTTTTCTTTTTTGAACTCTTTGCACTTAGCGATGTAGCAAGAAAGCATCGGCTTCATTGTTGTGGATCCTGAAATCGTCTGGAATAATTGCAAACCGTCCTTGGCCACGGATCACTCTTACATTGACGACCACTGTTATAATATTAACTATGGCTGTATTCAACATGGTAAGCAAAAAAGGAGTAATTTTTATTGATGTTTTGTTCTTTTTAAGATCTTTTTTTTCGTTCAGTATTTGTTTAGATATTGAATTCATGACTCATGGCTATGCAAGGAACCTACATGATAATGATTGCCAGAGATAGAAAGGTAAAGCAGAGCAACAGAAAACACACTGTATAATGGGGACCTCTGCAAACAGGATGCTCAGCAAAAGCTTGGATCTTGGTTAAGTTTATTAAAGAAAAATGTAATTTACGAGGAACAGAGGATATTTAAATCCCAGTTTGAACTGTTCAAATCTCTTACTCATCTATGCATTGCTTAGAAAAACAGAGTATGGCTCGAAGAATGAAATATCTCCTCACAGGATGTGTGGAAGACTTTGTGCAAAACAAACTAAGCTTTACTCAGATTTTTGATTCTCCTCTGCTGGTCACAAAATGATCATAATCTATACATTATTGAATTTCATGTGCTTGTCTTTGTTTTTTTGAAAAAGGGAGAAAATTCAAAGTTACATCAAAATTTCAAAAGTACTGAACTACAAGTTTGTCAGGGCTTACCTCTACTTTCAGGCATTTCAACCTGTGCTTTTGTTTTCTCTCCTGATAGGGTAAATCCATGTAATTCAATTTATTTATGTTTTTTGTAACTATAGCAAATACAATGCAGATCTGTCATTATTCTACATAAAGCCTGAATCGTAATGTTATTGTTTGTTCTGGAGGATGTGTTGTATAATGAGATGAGAAGTATATGGGATCAAAAAACTTCCTTCTTCTTGCCCTATGGGCTGAGCTTGATTCATTTATTCATAAACCTGTGAAAGTGTTTCAGCTCAGTTGTGTATCTGCAAAATGGGAACTGTAATATTTATTTAGGTAATGTTTTCATTACAACATCAATGCATAGATATTAGTCACATTTCAAGTGAGTGAGATTTGCACTTCCGTGCTTTTGAAATTGCAACTTTAGCACTTCCTTGAGTTCCTGGTACTTTTGTTACTTGAAGTTCATAAAAGACTTAAACATTGATAATTTCTACACTGTTTTATTTTGTTTTCCCACATTTCAGGGGATCCTTAATTAATCATCTGTTACAGTAAGTTCTAAGCTTGTCATAATGATGTGATGATGTAATATTGGCTTTTAAATGTGAACACTTGAAATTTCTGGTAGAATCTTCTCTCCATTTTTTCTGTTGAATGATCCTAGTCTTGTTTTTATTAGTTTTCTTTTCAGAAAAGCATATATTTTCCTTTCTTTCTCCTTTTTTTTTTTTTTTGGAGAGAAGATGATAGAAACAATTCCATCCAAGAATTTAAAATTCAGCTAATTGAATTTGGTGTTTAAGGCTGGTAGAGAAACAACTCAAAGAAGCAGGGACTGGAAAATGAGAAAATAAGCTCACTTTTTTAGCATTGAAGGCATTTAGCAGTGGGAGCAAATCATTCTGAAAAGCTGTTGATTCTCCATCACTTCTTGTCCTCAGCTGAAGACTATATGCCTTTATGAACAACACCCTTTAGCCAAGCAAAAGTTATTTGACATACTATGTGAGAAAACTCAGAGACATAGTAGCTTGTAAAACGTAGATCAGATTAGACTTTCTCTTATTTTGAACTCTATAAATGTATAAGAAGAAATGAAATAACCTACTTGGGTTTAAAATATACTTTGAGTTAGAGTTCATGCAACCATGTGGTTATTTATTAAGTTAAAATGTATAAACAAAGATATGGTCAACAACTGTTATTTTCCTTAGACTGAAGTTCTGCTGTTGTGTACAGCTCACTTGAAATTTAGCCTTCAACTAGTAAAAGACATTTTAACAAAAAAGGAGTTGTTCAGTTCATAATTTTTAGAAAAAGTTTTTAATTTTGTTGGTTCGAGTCCATTTTTATGCGGACTGAATGTTACAGTAAAACTTAATAGGCTGTATTTTAAAGTCTTTGTGCCTTATCAGTAATGACTATAGTATTACAAATAATCATGTTCCATGATATTCATGAGGTGATAATTTTAAGTACAATTCCCACCTTGAAACTAAACCTTAATAGTCTGACTAGCAAAAATGACTTTAAATGTGATTGTGAAATTTGCATTTCCTTAATATTAATAGCAAATTGTGGGAGAGACTCTGAAGTATCATTATTATATCTCCAAGCAACATGTACTTAATAGCAGAGTCCATTAACTGCATTTATTTCCATGAACTCTTTCAGTAGAAAAAGGCAAAATGTAGCCATTAAGATTTAATGGCGATAAAAAGCGTCTAACCATCCCACATCTAATAAATCATAATTAAGACCAAAATGTCGAATAAAACTCAGCCTTTATGGTCAAGGGACATTAGAAAAGAGTGGGGGTGCAATTTTATTTCCAATTAGCTGTTTCAGCAGACATCTGAAGCTAATCTTCACATTTGAGAGGTACATAGTCATGATCAGTGGAGGGAAGTTAAAAAACAGCTAATGTGACATAAGTATCAAGCACTTTGTAGCTGAAGAGAGGGGATGACTAATGCTTCCTCCATTGAGCATTAGATCTGGTGCCACACGTAGAGTAGGGCAACAGTCAATGGCTGAGGAAGACAGTTTTTGCGAAGCCGACCTGCATTAAACAGAACATGAGAAAGTATATTGCAGGGAGCAATCCCGGCATCTCAGAGAGACAGTAGGACTGTGTGGCTGCAAAGGGTCGACTCTTGGAAGCTAAACGAATTACTGTATCTGATACATGAAATGATTGTGCCTCACCATCCTCTGGGATTCGTGTGATCTCAGTGAAAGTGACGTGATGAAAGAGCTCTTTGTTTCAATGACTTCTGCATCAAATGCATGAATGGTTCTTGGCACAGCAACAGAATCTCAGGGCTATAATGTCCCAGGAGAGTGCCCTGACTTCCAGCTTTCAGAATCAGGATGTTACTTGCTTTCCTGTCTTTTGTCCAGTGAATTTTGAACAACTGGACTATTTTCTTTGAAATAATATATCTTTAGAAATGTGAACTGAGGTTTGAGTATTTCTGCTCCATTGTTTAATGTATGTCTGTGAGCACGAGCGAGCTGCCTTAAATTATGCAAGAATATTAGCCCCATATTATTCTCCCTCTAGTCATGGCTGATATCCTGTGTTTTAATAATGACAAATAATTAAGCAAACCTACTTCCATTCTCATAGTAGAAAGTTGATTTATTTAATATAGATAGATTTAATTATAGAAAGATATAATATAGAATATATTATATAATAGAATATATTAATATATAGAATATACATATAGAATATATATAGTATATTATATAATATAATATATTTCTAAA